ACAGACTGTAGTGATAGCCAGCTGCGAGAGAGAATGCAATTTTCTCAGGGAAATCGTTTTATTGTTTCTCTTGAAAGTCATCTTACGTTTTTCTTCAGTTTAGCTGGATTTGTGCCTCGCACTAAATGCAGTGGCATAGTTGTGAATTTTTCCCCCAATGTCGTATGATTTGCTACTCATGCTCAGGATATTGAACCAGCCATGGTTAATTGCTGGGTTTATTTCACAGGCATCAGAAAAGGCATAAAAATCCATTCATAACTAATACAGGTGTGAATGAATTATGAGTCTGCCTTGCAGATGTAATAAAACCCCTAACTCAACACCACTGATGTGACATGATCATTCAAATTCACAACGTAAATAGAATCTAAGAATATTTATATGATTTTAAGTGTATGTTCGGTAAGAGATGTATTTTAGGGAACATAAACTGCTCCATTAATCACAGAACCTTGTTTAAGTGTGTGTGGTCTCTTTAAATTGTTCTGCTAACAGCCTTAAGTGATTCTGTGTGTAGTGCGGGTGGTACTTCGATATTAGTGCATGTGATATCCTGTACACTTGTGAAAATAAAGATTCATCAGTCTGGGAAAACCCAACACACCCAAACAACAAATGGTGATCTACAACACTCGCACAAATTCAACCAGTGTCCTCTGAAGTTTAAGTTGCACTAAACTTAGTAACAAGTTAACGGGAAAATAGGTCACCCAGTCAATAATAAAGCATTCTACTTTGGCCTGGAAAGTTTAGTATCGAGATAGATTTTTATTTTACGGGGTTAATGTCAGTCGGTTTTATACGATAATGAATGGTTGGCAGTGAACTACAAAACAATAAGTCAGTTGAATAGTTCATGTGATGTTTCCAGAGAGGAAGCTCGTTTTGGCTTATTTATTTAATATGAGAGGTCAAGACAAGGGGCAAGTGTTGTACTGTGAAGTGCAGTGTCTCTGTATTTTATGGGTGAATGAGACAGCCAATTTGTACGCAGCAATGTCTCACAAACAGCCATTTTATTTTGGGGGATTGTTGGCCAGGACAACAGGACAAACTCCCTTCTGTTTTTGAATAGTACTGTTGGATCTTTACTGTCTACTTGAACAGGCAAGTAGGACCCTGTTCACCCTAAATCCCGTGAAACATCTTGAAGATGTGTTGAGACGTTATATCAAATGCAAAGATTAATATAATTTGTAAGTGCTCCGAGACGCTATGTGATGTGAAGGGTGCTATGTAAATGCTGTTTGTCGTTGTTATTGGACATTCAGCCCAATTGGAAATACTATTCAATTCATCCAATGTAAACTGATACTACCTCTTAAAAAAATACATTCTGCCATTTGGTCAAATGTGTGTGTCCATCTTGAGTTGTTGAGCATGAAAGGGCTTCATTATGTCTTCCTACGTTGCAATACCTGATGTATTCTACTTGCGTTAATTAATGGGCCTAAATTTAGATTGTGGATTTGATTATTTGACTGGCTTCAATTAAAGATGTAATTACAACATTAATGCAATTTAATATTTCACACACTGCAAAGCAATGTAACAAATTAATTGGCAAAAAGTAAACTACTGTCTGCATGCATTAAGAAAATCAGCATCAGAAAAAGAGGGTGAAAGGTCCACGGTTAATAAAAATACTGACTTGGGGGTAATGATGTGTTGCTTCGAGATGTCTTGAAGACGTGATAAGGCGCTATATCAAATTCAAGGATTATTATATTACTATATTACATTCAGAGAGTGTGATTTGTGCAGGGTGGAGTTGTACATGTGTGAACTGGATTGGAAAGGATGTTCGGATTATTTAGTTTACTGATTCAACCTGTTGTTTCCTGTTAATAGGATTTGGTTGTGGGGGAGTGGGGAGAGTCCCTTGTTTATCATCCCATCCATAATGTTTTCAGGTTTTGTCAAGTGGTTTTCAGCTTAGACTCCCCTACCTATTTGGCAAGAGCAGGCTTGATACTGTCATACAAAGAATAGGGGAGAAAATTGAAAGGGGAGAAGAGAAACAGGAGGGATCAATAGTGGAGAAAATTATGTGTGTATGTGTACACATATAAGTATATATATAGATTATTGTTGAGCTTTCCTTGCATGGTCCCATACAGCCACAGCTGGAAAGCAAATGACAGATGCCACCTTAAAAGGAATCTGAATTATGCCGCGATAGTTCTAAATCGTTTTTACTTCTTGAACCTGGTGTAGAAGCACTCCGGCAGATTGAATAAGTCATTGATTATACATGCAGAATATTCTCTTAATCAGCAAGTGAGGCACAAGGCCTGAAAGTATAGCAGCTGCTTCTGGTCATTTACAGTAGAAACACCTTCTCACCCATGATTTATTTGACTAACTGTCTCGAGAGGCTGTCAGTACTGTTTGCAATTGTGGTGTGTGGGGGGGAAGAGATACTAATTTGTCAGGGAGAGTTGTTGCAGTCAAAGAGAGAAGGGAATTAGCTCTTTTCATGGGAATGACATGTTTTTTCACCCGGACACTGGATTGAAAGATGATGGCACTCAGCCATGCATTCCTGATTAAGGATGAGAAGAGGGGATGAAAAGAGGAACTATGAGAGGTCATTGAATGGCGAGAGAAACTAAGAAGTGAAGCTGTGTGCATGTGCGGGCTTGATTTTTTTGTGTGTGTGTGTGTGTATGAGTAAATGATTCCTGTCTGCATGTAGATGCTGTGAGAATCTAGTTTTAAAAATATTTTCCCGTTTTGTTGCGTTCATTTCTAATCCTGAATTGCCTTAAACAAGTCATTGAAACGCTGTCCTAACTTTCTACTTTCGAGTCTCTAAGCTTGCTCCTTCGAATGATCCGAAACTGCATTATCTCAACCAGGTTTTCAAGGGAATTGTAATGGAATTTGAATTCTAAGCCTGCAAACAAATCCTGTTTTCAGATTCCATTCAGTTCCTTTCTCCACAGGTCCCACAGAGTTTGTGTTGACATGCTGCATGTGCAAAACAGGCTCCCATACAAACTCTTGTTTCTCAGTCTAATCCAGTACATCACCCACAAAATACACAGTCAATCAATCCACTTTACATTATATTCCGTGAAGCGCTTTGAAACATCTCAACAATGTGATAAGGCCCTATATCAAATGCAAGGATTATTATTAGTATAAATATAGCATGACATGGTGCAAGGTGCAGGATTCATCTCGAACACAGTTTCACTCAATGACTTTCATTGTAGAACCAGCCTTTTCACTTGTAAGGTTTAAGTTTAGATAATGCCTTGGGTGTATGTACGGAATTTGATTCCATTGGAGGTTCTGAGTAGGAGTTAATGGCAGTAGTCCCCTACATTTTGAGTTTATTTTGACCTCTTGCATTCTTCCATCTAATCCCTGTGCTTGTGTGTGCGTTGGAGATTTATTCAAAGAGAACACACTGATCATGATTTTCCTCCGTGCTAGTCTTTCCACATTTGACGATGCTCATTTATCAGGAAAAATCCTTAATAGTTTTGGGGTCATTAGTGTGCGAGTTGTAAGATATTAAGATTTTCATTGCTTTAGAGTTATGCAGCTGTTTAAGAAAAACGATAACTTTTTCTGGCAAGGTAGGGCCATTCCAGGTTCACAAACTAGGGGGTGCACAAGTTGCAGGGGGAGGAACGTCTGAAAGTCTTATAAATATACAGAGAGTAAGTTTGAGTGAGTTATATGAAATCCCCTTCCCTCCCCCCCATCTCCCCGTTGCTGCTCGATGATGTGTTTATTCTTTATACACATGGCTCATGATATGACCTAGTCATCGGAGCCATTTCAAATGAATTCTGGACTGGAGAACAGTTTGCGTACAGTTTTACTCCGAATTTGATTTGGATTATTTCACCTAGCTGTGAATTTATTAATGTTGTTCCTCACTGCTGGAATCAAAGTATTGATTTTATGATCATGATGAAGAGCCCGTTTACAGTGTGCTTCAAATACAAATGGTAATTATTCATGAGGCACGAAGAGGGAAGCCAGTTGTTCTGGAGCCTCTACTGAATCATCTTCCAGCAGCTCTTGTTTAAAATGGATATTTATTCTCAAGCGGACAACAAGCAGATGTGCTGCATCGAAAGCTTCTGCCAAAGCTGCCCTATAACCAGCTGTTCTGGAGAAGCTGCAATATTTATTTCTGCTTTGCATCTCTTTCGCTTTCTGGGAAGCACCTCGACTTGAGTTTTCAGCTGAGATCAGGCTTCTCAGTAACTAAATGCTCTGTAACTAAAGTTTTGTTTCCTCCCATTCCCTGGCACAGGGTCTTGGCACTCCCATTGTTTACACTGTCAGATGATACTGCTACCTTTTGAAAGCGAGACAAATTATCACCCTTCCCCAAAAAATCATTAACACTGAGCTTTGTGGACCAGTTCCATGTGGTTTGAACCACGTTTTCGTGGAACCTTTTGATGTTGCGTTTACCTGACTCGTCTTGTGAAATTCCCACTGCTGGAAGTCTGGAACATCTGTATCAGCTCAATTGATTTGGTTGTTATAAGCCACATGTTTAGATTCTCCAAGGGGCTCGTGTATTTGGGATGGGAGTACATTCTTCCCTTTTCAGGGTTTCATTGCTGTTCTGAAGCTACAGAAATCCTTGCCTTTGAAAACCATATAACAGTCTCTAACCTATTGAACAAAAAGCAAAGTACTGCAGATGCTGGAAATCTGGTATAAACACAGAAGTCACTGGGAACACGCAATAGGTCAGGCAGCATCCATGGAGAGAGGGAAAATGAGTTAACGTTTCGGGTCTATGACCTTTTGTTAGAACTTATTGATGTCAGTGTGGGTAGATAGTTGCTCTTTGCAAATATTCCACCTAATAAATCCATTTGGATATTATTGATCAATATTATTCTCTATTAAAAGACTTTAAGATGTTCATTTTATATGAAAGGCACTGTATAAATGCAAGGTGTTACTGAGTTATACTGTCTTCTTGTAGAAAAACTAACTCTATATATTCTTTTCAGGTGGACGGACGCACACCTTCTGTGACACTTTCGACATCACAGCTGCGACGAATCAGAAAGTTCCACCGAAACACTCTCTCGCTTTGAGGGGCAGAGAAGTGAGATTAAAGGTAAAACATGTATAAAGAGTGGAGGGAGAGGAAGTGAAACCTGGATTATGAAATTACGTGATGATTTGTGTTCTGTTGTATTATGATACTGTAATGATGGGAAAATGTAGTGAAGAACATTAATCCACCAGAATATTTTGGATAACGCAGTCGTGGGAGAACTAATGCTTATGGTCCTAATAAGCAGTGACAAGTAGCTTTGATTCTGTTCTGTTTTCGAGCTCCTCATCTCAGCCATGTTTCTGGCCAAAGTTGCTGAGTGAAGGCCAGGAGGGAGTGATACTTAGATACTTAGACTGCATTAACGGACTGGATTTTGAATACAGTTAATTGGTCTGCACTGTGCAATGGAAAGTGAAATCTATCCGAAAAGGCTTCATTTGGAACTGTGTTCCCTATTCGGACTCAAATTGTGCAGGTCGTTGACTTTCAATTAACACTGAGCAGCTTTCCTTTCCACTTGTGTTGCGCTCTCTATACAGCAAAATAAAAAAATAGCTGCGTACTTTTGGTGTATCTGAATGTGTGCAAAATGCATCTGATTTATTTATGTACTGCATCACACACACAAAAATAAAGTACTACGAAATGCATCTTGATGCATAACATTCGGAATGCAGAATGGAAATGACCTTAGGAGAGCAATGGTACGAAAAACAGCTGCCTTAATGATTCTGCATTGTGTTCTGAAATATACGATGAACTGAATAGTAGGAAGAAAAAGAAATTCCAATACTGATTGGAATTGCCTTTGAGTGATAAATGGCCTCTGGATACGTCTGAAATGCTGTACGCTGTCCAGCGCCTTGGGACGTCCTCGCGACGTGAAAGGCGCTATACAAATGTAATCTTGTTGTTTTGTTTTCCTGTTGTCGAGCAGTCTTGGATTCCACTGCTGTTACCCTCTATTCAATTTTTTTTCCCCTTTTAAATTGGGGATAGTCACTGCTGTAAATAAGGTCAGATAAAAGCCAAGCTCCCAACTGTTACTACTACCAAATGTGTCCCAGTCTGTGGTCTTATTCTGTGCCATGCATGGTTGGATATCTCTTGCCACAACTCTGTATATTAGTTTTGAAATAACATACGTGCCTTATAGCCAATCCTTTCAATCCAATCCCAATATTTGGTCGTGTTGAAACTGATTTACTGCTTACTGCAGTGGGACAATGCATCTCTGTAAAAATACACCCACTCCAGCGACAGGCTTTAACTGATGCCATTACGATCTGAAAATAATCTCTGATGGTCTTTCACTCATCATAATTCATTCCAGTTTATCAGCTGCCATTTACTTCAATGTTTTGCCTCAAATGTATCCAACATTTTGCTTCCCCACACCCTCCCAATGTGACAGTTTTCCTGGTGTTGTTTACTGGTTTGAAGGTTGGATATGGAAAATAAGGTTATTCAGCTGCAATGGATTAAGTTTCAGAATCTTAAAACCATTATCGGAAGCAATTGCAATCATCCTGTAAAGAGACTGCTTCATAGTGTTTCCAAAACCAGCAGCGAAAATCATGGTTACTTTTTGGAGTAAGGTTTAGGATTAGCACCTTGTTGCTCAGTAATTTCAAACTCAGAACATGTTAGCAATACATTGCATTTGATATCGTGCCTTATCACGTGGTTGAGATGCCACAAAGTGCTTCACAGGGATTGCTGTCAAGTGCAAAGTGATTGCGTATTTATACGTTAACTTCCATTATTTTTACGGATAATTTTCTTCATTTTTGCTACCAGCATTTCCAAATTGAGTACTGTGTAGCCTGAATTAACTGCGTGTGTGCGCATGTGGCTCCCAATCTATTCACATTAATCCAGCCTCAGAAAAGTTCTCCCTGTTGCATTGGCATGACACCTCCATTTATCACATTGGGCATCTTCGTGGCTTCTTCTGAATCGGATACCCAATTAGTCCCAAATTGTGGGCAATTTTACGATGTGAACTTGTTCTTACTGGGCATTGGATTGAGATTGCACAAATTAATTCCATGTTGGACACTCACAGCTGCCAGAGCAAAGCTTTGATCGTATCAGTCTGATCTGGAATCAAACAGAAGATTAAAGCGTCAAGAGTAATCCCAGAACTAGAAATCTCCAGTGCATTATTCTCTTCCGACTGTGTGTTAAATGGAGAAAATTGATGCTCTTAATAAACTATGAATACAAGCCAGTCCTAACTAGAAGGTTCTGACTCATTGGTCCACTCAAAATGTTCTTTGTATCAATGCAGCACATCTGCATTCAGTTTACTGTGTTTCAGAACGCACTCTTGCAGCTGTTTGCTTGGTTCAGGTGGTGAGGGTTCTCTTTGCAGCTGTGCTTGGTTGAGCTGACTCATTAGCTCGAACAGTATTGAGCCTTGGAGTTCATGCATGGATTCACTGCTGCACACCACACAATGGTTTTAAAGTCAATACGTCGTATATTCTGTGCAGCTTTTGGTACTTGAAAAAGAAACGTTAGCGGTTCCTGAAAAGTTTTGTGTATTCAGGGAATTGTTCGCAATTTGTGCTAGATGATATCCTCAAAGAAAAATGTGTATTTTATGTGTTTGCCCACAAAATACACAGTCACTGTACTTTCCAGCATATCCTGTGAAGCGCTTTGGGATATCCTCCCTTTGTGAATGTACCAAATATAAGGATTAAGGAATAATATATGTTGTATTCTGACATTTTGTGCAGGCGACAACATGCTGAAGTCTTTAATCAGCACAGTATTTAGCCTGCGAAAGATAGAATTAATGATATTTCTGATTTTTCATTTGTCATTTTTTGTTGGCCAGTTTTGAAACGACCTCCTGCACATTTTAGCTACAAACATCGAACAGATTAGCATCCGGAAGCCCGACCATTCTTTTTCCCCCGAAACCTTTTTTATTCTTCCAGATCCTTCCCAAACATCAGGGGCAGCACCAACAATTTTGCATTTGTAGTGTGCATGATACTGTGAAATCCGCCAGTTGAAATGGATGGGGCAAAATTCCATTGCTGCATTAACGTGAATTAGTGCCACACCGTGCAGTACAAAATATCAGAGAATAAATAGTTGAGATCCAATGAGCCTACGATGTGTTCTGGCAATAATCCTCAAAGAAAAATGTGAAATACCTTTCAAGAAATAGGTTAGCAGCCAAGCTCGGAATGGAAATCTGTATTTCAACTGAACTGTAAGGTTTTATTAAGCAGCTGAACAACATTCTAGCCATAAAACATAGTGAGGTGTTTTACGTATTGAATAGAAGGTACTTCCTTTTTATTTTTCAGGTTTTTAAGTCCATGTGAACATTACTTTATTGAAGTTGCTTATAATAATTATTAATGCATCTCTTAAGTTAGCTGTACGTGATGTTTGAATTTTCAGAGGGGCATGAAATATTGGAAGTCATTGATTTATACAATGTGAGGCAATCCTCAGTGTCTTATCCTCTGACCAGCCACCTTCACTAAAATGTACATAAAATATGAAATTAATTGCAAGTTGGAAAAATTGCAATGGGGGATCTGGAGCTAGGACAAAACGGTTTGTGCAATGAGGAAAACCTTTACATTTTCAAGTCTGTACAGTTGCTTTGATATAGTAAAGTATAAAATCAGGTTTAACCTAAGATTGACCTCAAACAAGATTATGGAAAGAGGGTTATTTGACATTATTTCATTCTATAGAAAGCTGATTTGTATTTAAGTATTTAGTGCCAACCTCTCTAATATTTCTGAGTCCAGAACGCGTTCAGCTGCACGGGTCCAGATTGTTGGTCGTGGCATTTGGACTATAGATGCAATGAGTTGTTTTGGAGAAACACGATGGCTTATGAAGTATCCCGTTAAATTCTTTGTATTGTTTCAACGTGATAAGGTGTTATATTATATGAATTGCCAAGTATTGTATCCTTTTGAATAACGTTTAATTGTAGTCTGGACTCGGGGAAACCGATTTAAGCCGTTTCTGAATAAGTATGAATGACTTCACAAAGGAAAAATGCAACGTTGTACAATTTAAAAAAAAGGGAATCACACTGTTATTAAAAGATTTCAGAGTCAGTGTTTCCCTACAGTCATGAAATTTGTATAATGACCACCATAGTCTAACTGCTATTATTATTGCTTGCAGGAATTCGTGGCTTACAAAACAAATCTGTGATAAGTGCTCTTAACTAAGGGAGAGGAAATAATATTATACAGCGTCTTTGAGGTACAATTTGGATTTGTTTTCCTTCATATTTTCAACAGAACAGTTGCCTCGCAGCATTAATATGCACAGTGTCAAATTTCCCAACTGTTGCAAAGTACAAGGAGTTTAATTTCCTGTTGCTTTAACTAGGTGCAGTACTTGCACACGCAGACATTTAAAATTCCACAGAGGTTTTTGATTTATTTTATGCCTGAGTTCTGATGGTGGAGAGCTAATGTTTTATTTCCTTTTTGTAATGATTCACTCACATCCTTTGGTGCCACGGTTGGTTTCTGCCGCTTTTGTGAGTTCCTTCAGATGAGCAGCATGTGCCGGGTAATAAACCCTCCAAAAAATCATAATAATTTGGTCACTCAATCCACGACTGTTTGGGGGATACTGCTGTGTGCAATTGGCTGCTGCGATTCGCGTACACAAAATATATAGTCAATTCACTTTACAGTGTATTCTGTGAAGCGCTTTGAGACGTCTCGAAGATGTGATAAGGCGCTATATCAAATGCAAGGATTATTATTATGTGCTGTTAAGTCGGACTTGAAGGGAAGAATATAACATAAGAAAAGTGTGCCAGAATCCATTTAAAAACCAAACCGGTCGTTCCCTCATATCTGTCACTGTATCTCTTCAAATCCTGTCCTGATGCATTTATGTTCTAAACTGGGTCAGTGGAATATGAACCATTAACACAGGAGGTTATGTTTCAGAACAGGATAAGCTACATACCCTCTGTACAAAGAGTACACTGCATAAATGGTAATATGTGTCATACTGCGACCTTTTCCGCTCTGTATTGCATAATGATT